AAAAAATAAATAAGTTGGTCTATAGAACAACCATTTCTTCTTATGACAAGGAACTGTAAGGGAGTTTAACTGTTCACAAGTGCACAATTTTTACAGTAAAACTTTCCACTGATGCCAGTAAAATAATGAAACTCCCATAAACTGTGCTTATTATCATCATGCACTACGGGATGTATTTGCACAATAAACAGGTATTATGTATTTATTACCATTCTTTTCTGTTACCTGATACTGCTTGTTCAATTTTTTCTAGTTTTCAGGCACAGGGAAAAGAAGTTTCTTAATTCTTCAGCAAGATATTTGGGCTCTTGGCTGTGGTAATTTTATAGAAAGGTAATGACAACTGACAATGTTTCACTCCAAATCTATCAGTAGCACGTTATTTTCCCACCACTTCAGAACTGTTGGGACTGATGTTACTTTTTTCCTGCAGACCTGTGAGGTTCTGCTATGCAAGCAATAAGTTAAGCTTAACCTTGGAGTTTGCAAGCCTTTCCACGGGTGTTCTATCCAAGTATGAACTAGCAATGCATTTTAAAAGTGGTTAGAAACTTCAGCTGATACACACACACACACACGATTTCTATTTGCTTTAACAAATACCAACAACTTTCATGATTCTGCACGAGTGACAGCATCTGTATCAGGGAAAAAAAAAAGAAGCTCAGATGCTGTCTGAGACAGCACAGGTTAGCAATACTCAGGTTACTATTATTCAGGACAGGTAGTATGTTTATTTACAGAAAGGGTACACTAAGCAGTCCAGCATTAAAGAAGTGTTCCAGTGGATATATTCATCCACTGACCACCATCTCTGAACAAATACTCAGCTGTGGTGGGAATGCCCAGCAAAACATTAAAGACCTCTGAATGGCAGTCTCACAGACTTTTGATTTAATCCTTTTGCTCTTCCTAATACAAGAAAGTGCCAGTACTAGATCAGGAGTGAATAGTTAAAAAGCATTTGTGTCTCTAACCATAACACAGATAGGCAGCGACATCCATTTTTAAAGAAAATTAGAAAAACTGCAGATTTATCTTGTAAACCCCCACTCAAAACTTTCTTAAATTCCCTTTTATTTATGGATCGAATTCCACTAGAGGAATGTGGAATGGAACAGTAAGTTCTAAAGAGTACAATTTTAACTATGTTACATACTGCCTCTGCTTTAATTACGTAAAATAGTATTAAGTAACAAACTGTTTATGCATGAAGTGGATAATCAATATATCAAAAATTATTATGATAACTGGATAATGTTGTCTTTTTAGCTCTTCCCTCTTTCACCTCTTTAAACTCTCAACCAGAGTAACAGTCAGAGAAATACCTGTTCTAGGCTGGGATAATGATGAATTACATTTTTCCCATTGATCTTTCAAACACAAAGCACTTGTTCTGAAGAACTGAATCAACAACCACACAGGCCTGGAGAGAGAGCAATGCATATTTCATTATCTCCCAAGTGTAATGTTTTTAACATCATTATAGACACAACAAAAATGGAACAAAAAGTGAACACACATTTTGTGGTCATCACTAGCCTCAAGTCCAACTCTGTTACTCATTAGGATTTTTTCTAGAAGAGGGAAGGACGTGAAGCAAACTTGCTCACAATTTTTATCCTCTTTTTGGGAAACAATAAAGTAAGCTATGAATTAACATTTGAAACCAACTGTTTCCAACTGACTTTGATTGTATTCTTAACACTAACTCACATTTATTAAAATTCATAACAGCTCACATTTTTACTCCCGGGTCTGGCTAATACAGCGTCATCACTGAAAACATATTTGTGGAAAATGTTTAAACAGTTCCAGTATTTCACAAAGACTACTCAGCATCCCTACAGTTAGCCTTGTCTAAACACTGCAGTTACCACCCTTCTAGAGACTGTGGTCTGCCAGCTGCAGAGCTATGTGTAGGTTCCTGGGAGCCGCGCAGGAAGCGGGTGTCGGTGCCCGGCGGGATGCGCCGCCGAGCCGGGCGCTCCGCGCGGAGCTGTCTGCGGTGCTGAACCGGCGGCTCCACACCGCCCCAGCCGCACCCGAGCGCCCCACCGCACACCCACCACGGTCCGACCGCGGGAAAGGACGAAAACTCAGTTGCCTTACGCTGCTGTACCACTTCTCGGCTTGGGAAGAATCTTGGCAAACCTTTATAAACTTCCCTCCCAACTCTCTTTAAAAAAGCAGCAAGTCTGGGGCAGGCAAACTCTAGAGACTGGTTTAACTGGCTGATTTTTTAAAACAAAACATACATGCAATGTCACTTCAAGAGAAGACTAAAGCCACCTGCTGTGCTGCTAGGCACTGTCCCATGGACATCCTTAAAGCATGGCTGTTTGATCTTCCTACTAATAAATCAAGGTCAAAGACTACTGAAAAGAATGAAAAAGCTGACTTCCACTGGCCAGCATTCTAGGTCAACAGAAGTTTCTCAGTCAGTATTCATCCTGCACCCAGTAATAATTACTAAACTGTCAGCTCCTTATTTCCCAACATTTTTTTTTTTTATCTCATGCTTTGTAGAAAAATCTACTTATGCAAAGGTTGGTCTGCTCCCACCAGAGTATGAAAGACACCAGAGCTGCAAGGTGAATACAACCACCTTTTTCTGTTCTATAGAACAAATTTTCCTCTCTCAATGAATTCCTGCTTATTTACACTATAACAAATATTTCAGTATGTTTCAGATAATAATAAAAAAAAATGTTTCAACGGGAACACGACTGACAAATAGCTGGCGTAAAAAGTCCTCCAGGACACAACCAACCAACTGTGGGCTCTGTTCTACAGACCTTATTCATTCTTCTGCACAGAGCAGAACGTTTGCTTGAATTAATGACATGTCTGCCTTCAGAAAACAGTCTGCTTTAAAGGTTATTTTAAAAACATTACATTATCAGGGTTACACAGTATCTTCTTTTGCCTGGAGAACATAATGTACATTATATACTTAGCCAAGGGATTTTAAAGATACCTTTTTTCCCCAGGTGTCTAGTGCAACATAGATTTTATTACCATAGAATTGATATAGCCTTTGCCCTGCATTCTCATCATCATATTTTTTAAAAGTCAAGTGTGTGCAGAAAAACATATTATGCTAAAATTCAAAAGTGAGCAGACATCTAAGAGCTACAGAGGATACTACATCCTTTCCTTCTAACAAACTCCTTGAAACAGAGAACTTCTCTTCACTTTTGATTTGGATGACAGAACCCCTTGAAGCAGCAGCTCCTCCAGGGACTGTCATGACTACTGCAGTTTCTGGTGTCTCTCATTCTGAAACATGGGGTATTGCTGCTTTACAGGTAGGTGTACTTGTGTTCTGTCTAGCGGCACTGAAAACTACATTAACTGTGATTAAGCCATATGATTGCACAACTCCTGCCATGGAGTTACATATATGAGGAAGTTCTTTAAAACAATCAGTTTAAAAAAAACAACCAAAATGGAATGACAATTTTTTGACAATATTTTTTTTTGATCCATAAGGGAACTGACTCCTAAGACAATGAAAATTTTTAAATATTTTCCTGAAAAAACCCAACAAACTATTGAGTCTTGGAGTAACTACTCAGTATAAGCTGGGGTACCTGCACGGACCTACAGCTATTTCATTCAACTATTTATCTTCCACAAAATTCTTCACTTAAAGTTATATGCATAAAATATTTTAAACATTCAGAGAGGGCTTGTTTTAAGCTTTGCAGTTCATGCCTGAAGAAACATTTGTGGGAAGATACACCAGAAAAGGATCCCACACTGCAGGAGTGCTACTTATTTATTTTTATACTGATAAAGAAACACATTCATCAATACTCTGGTAGCTTATAAATTTGCTCTCTCTCCAGAACACTTGTTTATTCAATACAGTATCATTAAACAGCTTTCAATATCTTTGACATTAATGCAGAAAAACTGGGTTCTGAGCCAGGAAAAGAAGTTTTGCATGTGCAAAACTGTACAACAGGATTCAATTCGGCAAAAAGTCTTCAGTGACATAATACTTTTCAAACACTATCCTAGGTGTGAGTGTCAAGGAGACTATGTAACATTTCATATCAAAACTACATGCATTCATTTGCACAGGAGAAGAATTGTAGTATACAATGCTTAATCTTTTATTTTTTATTTAACTGACTGGTACCAGTGGAAAAGTCTTCATTGCCCTTGAAACCTGACATTTCAGTCTTCGGCTCAAGGAGTCTCTGAAAAAGCAAAGGCACTATATCTATGAGTAAGGTCTTTTCCCTTAAAAATTTTGAATTCTGTCTGTTGTACAGTTTGGTTGAGATGAAACGCTACATTTTAACTTCTTGGTCAAAAAATTTGAAGCTGAAATTAGGACTAAGTCACCTGGACAGAACCTGTGACAGCATCTGTGAGATTTATTCTGTATCTTTGACCATTATGTTTCTCTTACCTTTAGCACTTTTCTTCTTAACACTTTCCTCTGGTCACATTCCTAGACACTACAGCATTAAATAAAACAAGTCAAATATCAATCTCCCCACTCCTTTTAAACACTCTCCTAGAGTACACTCCTATTTCAGACAGCTCACTGAGCATTACATACCTTGCACAGTGAAGACCATTAATGTTACCATCAAGAGAACACACACAGCATGAAATTTAGTCACTGAAAAATAAAAGACTATTGCTGCACCTCTGCTGCAGGAGACGACAGGCACATCACCTGGAAAGCAGGTTATAACCTTAAGGCTAGGCAATCCTATAGCACAGCTGCAGACAACAGTTCCTAGCAAGCAGAATTCCCAAGCAGGCAAAGCTTCCTGGCTGGTCTCTGCCCGCCGTTTGATGCCGATCTCCAGGGCTGAGGTCCATTCACCAATTTCGGCAGGCTTGCAGAGACCACGTTTGCCTCCTGAAGCGGCAGGACGTGCCCAGTACTTACCACCACAGCTCCCCTGGACAAACCGCCTCGCCCCCCCCACCTAAGGCAGCAACGCTCCCTGACCCACAGAAGGAAACGTTACCTGGATTTCTCTTGCGTGGTACACGATGATGAGCCCGAGCAGGATAATCGTGGAGAGGCTAATAAGGCATTTCAGAGCGAGGGAATACAGAGACTCCTGCAAGAGAAAGACACCGCCGTTCCTCAGAGATCCCATGCGCGGGGGCCGCTCCGCCCCACCGCCACCCCGGCCCCAGGAGGCGGCCGGCGGCACCGCGCCACGGGACAGCGGGGACACCACGGCACGGGGACGGGGCGGGGGCCGCGGGCGGTGGGACCGGCTGCCGCCGAGCTGGTACCTTGGTGTAGGCGCCCCAGGAGAGCTCGGTCTCGATGACCATGACGACGATGCCGAACATGCCGAAGATGAGCGCGTAGTCGCTGAGGCGCTTACGCTTCTCGAAGAGAGCCCGGCGGTGTCCCAGCTTGTAGCCGATGTTCTGGTTCTTCTTCTTGCTGGACTTGCCCCCGCCGTTGTTGGAGCTTCCCGTGCCGGGGCCGGGGCCAGGGCCGGCGGAGCTGTACAGCGCCAGGTTGTTGGAGTTGTTGTGTTCGGGCTTGGAGACCACGATCTCCGGGGCGGCGGGGCTGCCGGCGGGGGGGGCAGAGCCGGCGGCGGCGGGGCTGGCGAGCGGCGCCTGGAGCGGCTGCGACTCGGAGTCCAGATCGTGCAGGTTCCTGCGGGACGAGCTCAGGTTGCTGAGCGGCCGCATGACGCCGCCGTTGTACCTGCAACTGCTCATGGCTATTTCGGTGAAGGGGTTGCTCTCCCGGCGCTGCTGCTGCTGGTGATGGTGGTGGTGATGGTGATGGTGATGATGATGGTGAGTGCTGCTGCTGCTGACACTGCTGCTGGGGCTGGCTGCCTGCTGCTGCTGCAGGCTATGGCACTGGTGGTACTGGGAATATTGGTGAGGCTGTCTGGACGCGCCAGCATGGCTGGAGGGGGTGAACTCGCTGACGTTCAGCTGGCTGCCGTGCCGGGAGGAGGCGGCGGAAGACAGCGGCGAGGAGTGCGTCCGAAAGGCGCCCGAAAGCGGCGAGGAGGCGCGGAGCAGCAGGGGCAGGTTATCCCCCGCGGCTGCCGCAGCAGCCCCGTAGTAGGCGCAGTTGTTGCACTGGAGGCACGGGCTCTGCTGCTGCTGCTGCTGCTGCTGCTGCTGCTGCTGCTGCTGGAGGCTCTGCTTGTCTTGGCCGTGCTGCTGGCAGTGCGGCGGCGCCGGCGGGCGCTGCTGCTGCTGTTGCTGCTGCTGCTGCTGCTGCTCGGGGCCGAAGCCCGCCGGGAAGTGGCGCGGCGGGTCCATGCCGGGGCCGTTAAAGCCGCAGGAGGACCGGGCGGTGGTGCACCCTGCGCAATGCGTGACGGTCGGCAGGGGAGCGTCCTGCTGCCGCCACGACGGGCCCATCCCGGCTCCCGTAGAATCCAGCCGCCGCGTCCGATTGGTCGGGCGCACCAAAACAACGGGCATCACGTCACCTGGCGGGGGCGGAGCGGCCGCGCCGTCAGCGTGGGGCGCGGGGCCCCCGCCCGCGGGGATCCCGCCTCCCGCCCCCCGCAGGTGAGGGCTGCCCTCGCCCCCCGCCCGCCCCGCCCGCGCCGCGGAAACCCGGGGCTTCCCGGGGGCGGGGAGCGCGCTCGCTCCCGGGATCTCCCCCGCCTGTCGGCGAAGGGGCTCCGCCGCGGCTCTCCCCGGCGGCTCTCCCCGGCTCCCCACTCACATCTGCGCCGTCTCCGGAACATGGGCGCCGCGTCGCGCTCCGGAGCTGTCCAGCAGCGCCGCCGCCGCCGCCGCCGCCGCCCTGCAAAACACAGCGTGGGGCTCGCTCCCCGCCCGCCGCCCCGGGCCGCGGAGAGCTGGAAGGGGCCGCGGCCGCGGCGCGGAGCCCTCCCCGGCACATCCCGGGCCTGTCCCGAAGGACTGGTGGGGGGACGCGCGGCTTCTGCCGGCTGCTCCTTCCTCCCTCAGCCGGAGGAGGGAGAGGCGCAGCCGGGGCGTGAGGCCGGCGGCAGTCGGGGGTGGTTCGAGGGCTGCAGAGCTGCTCCGCCGGGTCGGCAGGAGCTGTACCGGGAAACGGGACCGGTGTCACTGAGTAGCTCCCGTCCGCCTCCGGCTCCCTGCCGTGCACTGCCTGCACAGTCCTGAAGTTGTATGCTGCCATTTTGCCTTTTCCCCTTTCTTTGCCTCCCAAGCCCCCACTGAGTAATCTGCTCTGGCAGCTCCGTTAGGCAGAGCCATGTCTGCATCAGGTAAAGTCTGCTTTCTGCATTTATTTAAGGAAAGATTATTTAAGGAACGAATTATGAAAATGAGAAGTGATTTACCTTGTTACAACTGTGTCATTCCTGTCAAATGTCAACTAGACAAGACTATAAGAGGGTGTTTCTTTTTTTTTTTTATTTTTTTTTCCCCAGTCAGTATTTGATAGCATGAAATATTTCCTTACATCTTCAATTTCTCGGCAATATTAAAGACAAAATCCACCAAGCCTTTCTAGGGCAACAGCCTGCATCTTTGTAATTTCTGTGTCTCCTGTGACATTCAATTTCCTTTGAAATCCTTAGATGATTTGTAGGTTAGAAAGATGAGTGAGGCAGTGTCATTAGCAAAATTTTTAAATATGCTCTGTTATAAAATTTTAAAGTTAATTCCTAGTCAAGGTGTAGCTTTTAAAGCAAGCACACATATCACCCACACAATGAAACAACCCTCACTAATGTAGTAAATATCATGGGTTACAATATAGATAAATTATTTAGAGAAAGACCAAAATTTAGGTATGTTTGCATAGCATGTTATTTTGAAAAAGCACTCATAAGTGGGAGTATATACAGTACACAAAATCATAACGTCTTGTGATAAATAAAAATTTGTCTTACAACCAAGTTTTGAATAAAAATCTACAAATGAAAAAATACTTTCGTTTTTAAGTTAAACAGAAGCGTATCTGGATGCTCAATATTGCACTAATTTCCCTGAACACCAATAGCCAACATAAAAATTGCTTTCATTCTTAAGAATGAACAGGCTGTTTAGCACAGTTTCAGATACTCTATTTTCTTTGAAAAAACCCAGTGCTGTAATTCTATCTTACTTGTCCCATTTTGCCTGTTTTTTGAAGCACACATGAATCTCAGGAATCTTTGGAAATTAAAATCTCAGGGAACCTGGGCTTCTACTATTCTGTAATACTACTGTTCTACTATTCTGCTTCAGTCTTGCTGAAGCACGCTTTCAAATTGCATGTTTTGTGAACTAGTTAAAAATTAGATAGGCAAGGTTCCATCTTTCCTTTTCTGTTCAAGCTGTGTCCTTAATTTTCCTTAAAGGTACTTTCTTTTAAGCTTTCATTTTACCAGGATATAAATTCTCATGACCTAGTTTACCTCGGAAAGCCTTTTAAGAAATTTGTAAATCTCCATGTTTTATTTAGAAGTCACCAAGGCTCTGTCCTGTAACTTCATCTACTCTGATCATGGATGCTTATATTAGAATTGTGAAGAACATGAAAAATATCTTTTTAAGGTCTTGTTATTCTAAAATATCTGATATCTTTATGCTGTGTGGGGAAATTATTGCATTTATTTTTCTAATTCATATATAGAAGTCACAAGTCCCAAATGTTATACGTCTGCTTCTGCTATCCTGTTTATTTGTTGAAATGCAAGGACAGTGCTATTACAAGCTTTTAGATATTTAGTCTTGGTTGCTTCATTGTGTGAATAAAAAAAAAGAATATTCCCATGTCTAACACAAGAGGTCATACTCATCACACAGCTTGCTAGAAAACTGATAAGCCAGGTTTTCACTTTAGTCTTATTGTGCAGTCTGGGATATTTTATCACAATTTCAAGGTATAAACTAAGAATTGTGGAGAGTTTGCATTTTCAGAGCTAAATAAACCTTCCCTTCTGTGGCATGATTAATGAGAAAGAACAGAAATTAGCTATTTGTTCTATATTCCATTGCTAAATAATTTTGAAGTTCATTTTGAAGAATGCATGTATTTGTTTTCAGAAAAAAAAATCTGTTCTTCATGTGAACTTAATTGTTACATTCTTTTGTACCACACATTAATTAGTGTGGCAGCTCAGAACTGCTCAGTCATGCTAACATGGCAACAGTGAACGCCTATGAAAGAAACATTATTTGTTTGGGATAAAGCTTTGGGGTTTTTCCTACCTTTTCATTATAAACTGGGTGGAATTGCTCTTACTGATTGTTATAAGGACTGTATCTGCTGTCCCAAAAAGGTTGATTTTACATGAGCATGTCTCCATGCGTGTACATGCACACCTTAATATAAAGTAAGAGAAAAACAGTTACTGCAGATCTCACTTGATAATTATGATTAATGGCGATATTCAGAAAACAGATTTTTTTTCCTAATTTTAAGAACAAGATAAGTACTGCCAAGCAGTACTGAGCTAAACTTTATTAACAACAGGACTGGAAGCACAACAGACACAAGAAAAATTAGATTTTTGGGAGGATAAAAACCACTATGAAATATTTGAAGTGACATGGATTGGCTGGTCATTTGAAAACCTCACATAGCAACATGCAACGGAGACACAGCACTTACAGACTACAATAAAAGATGTTAGAAAGCTACTTTGGCTGTTACCCTATTGCCCCTACTAAAGCCAACCTCCTGTTAAAATAACTGGGAATTCTGAACTCATAATATGGTCAAAAATATAGAAAGACAGTAAATAAAAGGAAATGAAACAGAGAAAAAAAGAAAGCCTAGGAAATTCCATTCTCAAAGCACAACACCTAGAGTTTTTAAGAAAGCAGCAAAGGAAAAAGCCTTGTCCAATGACAAAAAGAAGAACAAACAGGCATTGCAGAGCTCAATATTAGACTGAAAGGTGTCATTCAGTGAAGGCAGAATCACATTAATAAAAACAGAGGTAACACCAGGGTAATACAGGGTAATATAAGATCATTCAAGGCTATCTATACAGCAATACAAATGCTTTTGAGACCATACCAAATGACTGCAGTATAACTGCTGAGATGATGGGCATGGAAACTAACTGTATGAACCACGTGTGTAAATTACCTTTTCCGTACCATCTGGCAGGGCTTTTACCCACCAGACCCCCCTAACTTTCACCCCAGCAACGTCTGGTGTCATGTAATTATATACCCTCGCTGGAACACCACCTCTGCTGTACCTATGCTTATTTCCAAGACCTTTTGATAATGTTCCGTATTAATGGGACAAGGAAAATACTATGACTCCATACAAATAATACAATTACATATTAAGAGGATGCATGCTTTGCTGTTTCTACTTTTGATTTTATATAATTTGACTAATTTTCTGCACTTTCTTCTGCTTCTCCAGCAACACCACCAATGGAAAAGCAAGTCCCCTCCAGTTTAAAATCTTTGTAATCTGGGATGTGTAGGACGTGACGCATAGGGACACTGGATTGACGACAGCTCTAAAACAGTAACCAAAGTTTTCAAGGCTGGGGATGTCTTCATTCATAGGGATGTAGCTTAAGAAATATCTAGAATTGCTGCATGCCCTTCCTCCAGTTAAGGGGCATTAAGCAATGGGGGGTTATTTTTTTTTTTTTACTAAAAGCAATTTTTATTTTTATTATACATATTGAAAATATTGAATGTGGTCCAAAAATACCTGGTAAAAGTATTTGTTCACTTAATTCACTTTCCATCTTTTCTGGATATTTTTATAGTAGTTGAAGGTCACACAAACCTAATGACTTCTTTTCTTTCCTTTTTTTTTTTTTTTTTTCATTATCAAGGGATACTGCAGCCTTTAAAGGCTTTCATAGCTAGCTAAATGCATTAACATCAGTACTGTTTTAGCCAGCTGATACAGGTGCTCAGCAGGTGAATCTTAAATTGTGTTTAATCAGACTGCCTTTTATTATTCTCACAAATTGTTGCAGTTTTGTAATGGAACTCAGATAACTCAGTACAATTACTGAAATACTAATTTAATGCAGTTTTTTCTATTTCAGCCTGTGCAAGAGCACAGAGTGACTTTTGGCATGTATGGGATTATCAAGTGTAAGAATTTACTTTGAACTGTGCAGAGTGTTTTCTTTTTGCAGTATTTTGACCTGTTAAATCCAGTGAGACAGCATTTACATCTAAATATAAGATTGTACCTTGCAGAGGTGGATGTTAGCCATGCTTTTTCTCTCTGTAAAATATGTCCTCTGTGATTCATGTAGCAGTTGGTTCTAAATAATTAAATTTGCCCATGTTTAAAAAAAAAGGTTGTTGGATTTTTTTTTCCATAGGTACTTTATCATCAGTGCTCCATTTAGCTTTAAGAACAGAATTGCTATGGATTTGCATTTTCTTTGTTCTATTTGGAAAGTTCCTTCAAGGTTACTTAATAACAGGTTCCATTATTAGGCTGAAAAATGTGAAAGTGGACTTGCTTTTATCAGGTGTGTATGAGTACTTTCAAATCTTTAATGGTAGGTTCTTTCAGCCAATAACCCTCACAATTCAAAACACATAGCAAATGTAAGGTTGCTGCTTTGTGTTTATTGGGAGATTTTTTATTTGTTTCTGCATTC